TAATCTTGGCTTAAAAGGTTCCAAGAAGCCACAAAAAGCCCCAAGGCCCAAATCAGGCCCCGACCCTGCCGAAGCTCGCCCCTGCCCACCCAGCCCCCCGCCCTTCCCAAAAGTAAAAATGTCGTTCCAAAAAAACACGTTTCGGTCAAAACTTTCGCTCAATACTTTCCCTCAAAACTTTCGCTCAAAACTTTCGCTCAAAACGTTCTTGGGACCCAAACCCTATACAATTTCTATAAACCCTAAACCCTAAACCCTAAACCCTAAACCCAAAACCTTAAACCCTAAACCTCACTCCGAAAATCCTCAACCCTGAGCCCGCGTTGACAGACCAGTGAGCTGGCTCTCGGACATGGATCTACGGTCTTCGTAAACCCATGCTCTTTGGGTTTAGAGGTTCAGTCTGGTATTTGGGGTTTAGGATTCAGGGTGCACATCCTGAACCTTCCTAAGCCCCTAGCAGAAGCTCCCTCCCCTCCCCCCCCAGCGAGAGTTCCCTCTTTGAAATCCCAACCCCTAAACTCCAAACCCGAGAGACCACACCCTAACCCCAAGACCCTACTGTAAACCCTAATCCCTAGACCCTGGTCCCTAGATTACAACCCCTAAGCCCTAAACCTTAAACCCTAAACCCTGAAAGCGCAACCCCCGAGCTCCTAAGCCGGTCGGAAGGTGTGCAAGGGCTTCCAGTGCCGGAAGCTCAGGTAGTGCTTTCCAAGCCTGAGCCGTAGGGTTTAGGGTTAGGGTTTAGGGTTTAGGGTTTAGGGTTCAGGGTTTAGGGTTTAGAATTTAGCCTGAGCCGCAAGTGACTCGTAGGGTTTCAGGTTCGGGTTTGTGGTTTGGGTTTTCGAGGTTTAGGTTTCCCTGAACCTTCCCAACCTCTAGGCTGATCCAGACAAGAATGAGAACAACATCCGTGATATTCACAGTTCATAGAAGGAACGAAAGAACCCGAAGCCCTCAACCCCAAATTTACTGCCTCCTACGGCCCTTAGCCCTCAAACTGTAAACCCCTAGACTTCAACCAGCCCAAGGCCCAAGACTCGACACCCCAGACCCTAAACCCCAAACCCCAAACGCCAAACTCTAAACCCCAAACCCCAAACCCTAAACTCTACACCCCAGACCCTAAACTCTAAACCCCAAACCCCAAACCCCAAACCCTAAACCCTAAACCCTAAACCCTAAACCCCAAACCCTATGACCCTACACCGTCAACGCCCAGGCCCTCATCCCCTCACGCAGAAGCTCAAGAGCAACGACACCTTCGGCTGGTCTGAGAGCGCCTGCTGCGAGCCCAGGCCAACCCTAAACCCTAAACCCTAAACCCTAAACCCTAAACCCTAAACCCTAAACCCTAAACCCTAAACCCTAAACCCTAAACCCTAAACCCTGAGCCCAGGCCCTCCTCTGCTTGGAGGGTTTGGGGTTGAGGGTTTCGGGCTTAGGGGTTTAGGGTTTCGGGTTTAGGGTTTGGGGTTTAGGGTTTGGGGTGTAGGGTTTGGGGTGTAGGGTTTCAGGGTTTCGGGTTTAGGGTTTAGGGTTTCGGGTTTCGGGTTGGGGTGTAGGGTTTTGAGGGTTGAGGGTACCTGCACGTGGAACTGGAATAGAACCTTCTTCATAGCTCCCAACTACTCAGGGACATAGAATAACCCTAAACCCTAAACCTTAAACCCTAAACCCTAAACCCTAAACCAAGTGTGCCAGTATGTTGCGGTCCCCAGGCCTTGGGGCTTGAGGGTCCCAAGCCCTAGGCCCCAAACCCTAGAAGCCTAAACCCCAACAAAACGCCCTAACCCTCAAACGCCCAAACCCTAAATCCCTCAAACCCTAAAAACCCTAAACCCTAAACGCCCAAACCCTAAACCCTAGACCCTAAACCCTAAATACTAAAGCCTAAACCCTAAACCCCAAAAACCCTAAACCCTAAAACCCTCCACTTTCCTCCTTCCCTCAGTCTGGCAGGATGTGCAAGGATGAGGTCACCTGCTCGCGCCTGAGAGCTTAAGAGAAACCCCCGAACCCCAAGATCCTCGAACCCCTAAACCCTAAGACTTGATCCGTGTCTTTCTAGGGGGTTTAGGGTTTAGGGTTTAGGGTTTAGGGTTTAGGGTTTAGGGTTTAGGGTTTAGGGTTTAGGGTTTAGCCATTTGGGGTTGAGGGTTTCGGGTTTAAGGCTCAGGGTTCGCGGCTCAGGGTTTAGGCTGTATTGTAAACCCACTAAGGACGAGGGTATGGGCTTTAGGGCTTAGGTTTCGGCAACCTCCCCTGAAGCCCTAAACACGAATCATGGGCTCTTCATAGGAAACCAGGGAGCCCTCAAACCCTAGACCCTAAACCCTAACCCCAAACCGGAAACCCTAAACCCCAAACCCTTAACCCTAAGCTCTGAGCCCGCGACACCGAAACGCCGAGGTGCCCCGGAAAGCCAGTGGGCCCCGACCCCGGCAGGGGTTTAGGGTTTGGGAGGGTCAAACCCGATTGGTTTAGGGTTGGCGGTTTGGGGTTTTGGGTTGAAGGTTGAGGGTTGAGCCAAAGCCCGGTGACCTGAGCCCTGTGGCCACCGGTCAAAACCCACGAGACCCCAAAACATAGACCCCCAACAAAAATTTGAGCCTCAATGGAGGTACCAGGCTTAGTGTTTTGGATGTCAGGGCCGCAAGGGGTTTCCCAAAAACCCAAAACCCTGACATAAACCCCAAATTTTCCCAAAGTTTTTGGGGTTCTCTAGAGAGGGGGACTCATTGGGGGTATGTAACCCAAGGTTCCCTGATACTCTTCCTAAGCTGCCCTAAGGTTCCCCATGAACCCCCCTCCCTTAAGAATCGCAAACCCTAAGCCCTAAACCCTAAACCCTAAACCCGCCCACCACCCCTCTCCTTCTGTAGGTAGGTGGGCGCTGTCGAGCGATCAGCGAGACCTTGGCAGGCTCTGCTGGGCTGCAGAGCCTGCCAGGCTCACCCCTGAGAGGTCGCCAAGCTAAAGACTGGGCCAAGTGCATTGCGTCAAGGTCACGTGCGTTGTGGCAATGTGCCAGTGCATGTGCGAGCCGCATTGTTGTGCCAAGTGTGTTGCGCCAAGTGTATTGCGCCAAGTCCGTTGTGCTACATGCACTGTGCCAAGTGCATTGTGCTAAGTGCATTGTTCCAGGGGCCAAGTGCACTGCGCTAATGCACTTCCAAGTGCATTGCGCCCAAGTGCATTGTGCCAAAGTGCCTTGCGCTCATGTGCACGTGCCTGTGTCAGGTGCATTGTGCCAAGTCCAAGTGCATTGCGCAGGTGCTCTGTGCCAAGTGCGTTGTTCAGGTGCATTGCGTCAGTGCCAAGTGCATTGCGCCAATGTGCCAAGTGCATTGTGTCAAGGCCAACTGCATTGTGCTAATGTACCCGTGCATGTGCCAACTGCTTCTAGTGCCAAGTGCATTGCGTCAAGTCCGTTGTGCCAAGTGCATTGTGTCAAGGTAAGAGCCGCGTTGCTGTGCCAAGTGTGTTGCACCAAGTCCATTGCGCCAAGTCCGTTGTGCTAAGTGCACTGTGCCAAGTGCATTGCGCTAAGTGCATTGTCCCCTGTGCCAAGTGCATTGTGCCAAGTTCATTGTTCCAAGTGCATTGCGCCCAAGTGCATTGCGCCCAAGTGCATTGTGCCAAGTGCGTGCCAAGTCCAAGTGCTCTGTGCCAAGTGCATTGTTCCAGGCGTGCATTGTGCCAAGTGCATTGCGCAAAAGGGCGTTATGCCGAAGGGCATTCTGCCAAGTGCATTGTGCTGCGTGTGCCAACTGCAGTCTAGTGCCAAGTGCATTGCGCAAGTGCTCTGTGCTAAGTGCATTGTGCCAAAGGGCATCGTGCCAAGCGCCTTGTGCCAAGTGCATTGCGCCAGCCGTGTTGTGCCGAGTGCATTGTGTCAAGGCCATTGCGCGCAAATGTCCCAAGCATTCGCAGTGTTTTATCTTAGTGTCTTATCTTAGTGTCCTCTAAACATGTTCGATGTGTGAAATGTGAAACATTCTTAGTGTTCTGTCTGAGTGTCCTCTAAACATGTTCGATATATGAAAATTGAATGGCTGGCTTGGCTTTGGCTGGCTCCGGTTTGGTTCCGTGATGAGTAGTGTTTGGGTGGTCTCGGGGTGGGCATGTCTTCATACTATTGCGTTCAGCTGACCAATGCTACACCCTAAATAAACCCTAAACCCTAAAGCCCTAAAGCCCTTAACCCTAAAGCCCTAAAGCCCAAAAGCTGCCGGCGACATTCAGACAGGAACCGCGCAAGGATTTCGACACCCGGACCGGCTCGACGCTACAGGCTCGTTGGTGGGTTTAGGGTTTAGGGTTTAGGGTTTAGGGTTTAGGGTTTAGGGTTTAGGGTTTAGGGTTTAGGGTTCAGGGTGTAGGGTGTAGGGTTTAGGGTTTAGGGTTTAGGCTTTAGGGGGTTCTCTTCACTTCTTGCTACAGCTGGGCTTCATGGTTTCAGAACCCCAAGCCCTAAACCCTGAACCCTGAACCCTCAACCCTAAACCCTAAACCCTAAACCCTAAACCCTAAACCCTGAACCCTGAACCCTAGACCCTAAATCCATGAACCCTAAACTCTAATCTGTCAGGGTTTTGGGTTTAGGGTTCAGAGCAACCCGGGTGCAATAGACTGTCTCTCACTCTCAAGACACCGGGACCAGAAGCAGAAACAGGACGCAATTCGCATGCTTTCAGCACTGTTTACGGCTCATTTGTTATGGGCATGCTTCGGCAAGCAGTCCTAAGCAAGAAGCGTTGCACCAGCGGGGATTTCAATCTTGCTTAGGTGCAAGGTGCCACGGCCGAACAATGTTCTCCGACAGCCTGGCAGGCGCGCACGCGGCCGCTGTCGTCATTTTCCTCAGCTTCCATTGGAGGATGACGCATGGGGACATTGCCAGGTCATTGGGAAAGCTCACCCAGTACTTGTGGGCAAGCTTGGGTGGCGCAGCCCGCTGCCCTGACGAAGCGACGAAGCGAATCGATGCAGCCATGGATCAGCTTCGAGAGGACAGCTATGTGGAAACAAGCAAGCTGATGATGCATGTAAACGCCATGTCGATGGTTCTCATTCCTTACATCTATGGGGATGACCGGAGATTCATGGCCGGTATCCTGCTCGCTGCTGCAGCTGCTTATGCCACGCACTTGGCCTTGGCGATGCGGAGGATCAGCCTGAGGGCCTACCAGTTGAAAACATTTGTTGCGGCATACTACGTGATCACGATCCTGTGTATCTGGTCTGGTCAGCTAGCAGGTAGCTCTGAAACGCATCAAAGGTTGATGACAGTCGGCCAGATCACCTTGTTCGCCTGTTATTGTGATCGCACCGTGCACATACCAGGCCAAGTTGCCCTCGCTCTGGCACAGATCCTTCAGCTTGCGGCATCTAGGGGCTGGCAAGGCATCTCAGCCAATGTCGTGGTAACTCCATTGCTCACAGCCTTGATCCTGACATTTTGCCTCGTGGTCCTGGAGAACACCCTGAAGGAAGGCTTGGCAGCTCAGTTCCGAGGCACAGATGCTGAGTCCTTGGTCGCCTCCTTTCGGACGATGCTGCGGGGCTTATGCGATGCGGATCTGTTGCTGGATGAGTCCTTGACCATCGTGGACGATCACGACCTCCTCAGTGGGCTACTGGGCCGGAAAGAGAGCCTTACTGGCCAGGCCTTTGCAGACCTTCTCCTACAAGATACCGAAGAGCAGGAAAGATTCCAAAAGTTCATCGGAAGGCCGAACGTATCCATGGGCACCTCTCAAGCAAGCACGCCCCCGTGCTTGCGTGTCTCCCTTCGAAGAAGGAGCCCTTTCCAGCGCGTGGGCGCCGATCTTTTCCACGTGCGCGTTCCGCGCTTGTACGGCTGCGCCGGTGCCTACCACCTCATGGCTTTGAAGCTGGATCCGGATGCGGAAGTCGGGGAGGAAGACGAGCAGGTAGGTCCCGTAAGTTCTTCAGAGGCTTCCTTCTTGAGGCCCGCCAGCTTCGCAAGCTTGGACGGCTTAGATTTGGATGGTCCGCCCTCCCCGATCTCGGATCGAGCTAAGGGATCCTTCTTGGAGGCGCTCCAGACATTCTCAGAGCTGAGCTTCAAGGTGGGGTTTCAGGGTTTAGGGTTTAGGGTTTGGGGTTTAGGGTTTCAGGGTTTAGGGTTTAGGGTTTAGGGTTTAGGGTTTAGGGTACCCTTTGTTGGGGGCCCCTCGAAGGGGGATTCTATTCTATTTAGGGTATCAAGGGGGTCACCCCTAGTATCGGAAGCCCGCAGGTGGAACGGCGGGTCAATCCTAGGGTCATCTCGATGCACTTCAACTTCATGCGAAGCCAGGCGGACGCGCAGAGTGTGAACAGACCCCAGGTAGTAGAGTAGGCAACCTTTACCCTTTTTGGGTTTTCTACCCCCTATAAAATCCCAAATAGTCGTAGAGTAGGCAACCTTTACCCTTTTTGGGTTCTCTACCTACAAAATCCCAAAGGCTCACCTTTATTTCCCCCAGGTTACTGGACAACTAAGGGCCTGCTCTCCGAGCCTTCATCCGGCCGACGCAGTGGGCTAGGGTGAGTGGCCTCATGAGAGGAGATGGCTCTGCTTCTGGGTAGCCCAGTGGTTTTACCCTTTTTGTTGGGGTTCTGGGGTTCCTTTTATAGTAGTGAATTTCAAAAAAAGGGGGTGCCCTTATTAAGATATTGGGCTACCAAGGCTTCGTCAGACGTTGCAACGCATGAGCTTGGTGAGCTCTGGATCCCTTTCGGCCACCCCTCGCAATACCGGCTGGCTCGGCGGGCCCAGGTGCGCAGTGCGCAGGGGGGCCACCTGTGGATTGACCTGAAAGAAACCGGGGAGGTCCTTCGGCGCAGCGAGAAAAGGGTGAGATGCCTAAACCCCCTCAATCCGCCCACGAGCAGCCTAAGACCCCAAATTCCGAAAACCTCAGAACCCCACAGCCCCAAAACCTCGAAATCCTCCCCAACCCCCCCCCCCCCCCCCACCCCCAAAAGAAGAAAAAAAGCCAAAACCCCTACACCCAAATCCCTCCACCAAGAAAAGAATGAAAAACAAACAACAACAAAAACAAGAAAACCCCCAAAACCCTAAAACCCTAAAATTCCAAAAAGTCAACAAGCTCGCAAAGCCCCCAAAACCCCCCAAAACCCCCCCGAAACCCCCCAAAACCCCCCCCCAAAACCCCCCAAAACCCCCCAAAACCCCCCAAAAGCCCCAAGCCCCGAAACCCCCCAAAACCCCCCAAAACCCCCCAAAAGCCCCCAAAAGCCCCCAAAACCCCCGAAAGCCCCCAAAACCCCCCAAAAGCCCCCAAAGCCCCCCAAAACCTCCCAAAACCCCCTTTGCCTGCAGGGCTGCTGCACCGCCAAGTTCTGCCCCTCTGTGGCTTGGCTGAGAGATTCTGGGAAGTTAGGCTTTGGGGGGTGTATTGTGTGCTTCAAACCCTAAACCCTAAACCTTAAACCCTAAAACCCTAAACCCTAAACCCTAAGCCCTAAGCTCTCCTTGCAGGACTTCTGCGACAACATCACGGGCTGGGAGAAGCATCCTGCGACGGGCCTGAAAGGCGCCTGAAGTCTACTTGGAGGTTCATGGTACTTATTAACCATATTAGGGCACTTAAGGGGCTAGGTGGGTTATAAGTGCAGTTTTAATTGGTTAGTAAGTACCATGAACCTCCAAGTGCTAGGCTGCTTACAAACTTCTTGACTTGAGGTCTGGGGCGTGAGATTGGGAGCCTTGTGGCTTAGGGTTTAGGATTGGGTGGTATAGTGGCGTGGGTGAAGTAGGGACTCTGCAACATGTAAGGCCTGTATCAGCAGCACCATGTCTGATCATTCACTGTTGGCCGCGCTGCTGTGTGATAGGCTCATGCAAGGGGCCCCTTGTACATGGGGAAATCCAGCGCTTGACGCCATTGCTACGAGTGCGTTGTGCACTTGGAAAAGGTCAGAGCGGTGAGCTCTTCGGTGGTTGTGCTTGAGCCCAAACCTCGCTACTTGTGGCACTCTGCTGCATTGGTAGCGGAGCACGTGCCGGTCCAGGCAGTGCTCGACAGCTGCCCTTGGTCCTCCTCTTCGACGACTACGCCTGAGGCATCTTCTACCCGACCATCGGCTACCTGTTCGCTGGCGACCTTGCCAAGGACAGTTTTCTCCGTGCAGCGCTTGGCTGCGTGTTTTGCAGTTTTCCATGGCTGACTCCAAAGATCGGAATGTGGTTCCGTCGTGGGATGGATCGGCTCGATCCTGGAGGAGGTACACCCGTGAGGTGGCCTGGTGGGTGCAATCTGTGCCCACCCACAAGCGGCGCTACTGTGGAGCTCAGCTGCTGAGCAGATTGAGTGGGCCAGCGAGATTGTTGGCGATGAGCTGGTCACGCTTGGTGTTGGACTCACGAGATGGAGTCCGAGAATTACTTCGCAGGCTGGCTGGCTCCCCTCTGGTGAGGAAATCGCTTCCGAATGCTGCAGCGATTTGCCAGCAGTATTTCTCCTTTCGGAGGGATCCTCAGGAGACGATCGGAAACTTTCTGGTGAGGGAGACGCTGGTCCATGAGGAGTTCGTGGAGGCGATCGTCCGACTACATGAAGACAAAAGAGGGATCGCCGAGGATCAGCGGGACTTCGGCCTTCCCGCACCCGAAGAAGAGTGGTCATCGTCGGACTGGCAGGATGCCTGGGGCTGGTGGAACTACGACGACGAGTACGTGGGCGAGGGCGATGGTGATCATGATCTACCACCTGATTCAGCAGTACCAGAGCGAGAAGAACCGGGACCTCGAGAACCCCGTGCTGACATAGGTGAAGAAACGGACGAGCCCTCTCCGGTGTCGCCGCAAGCTGCCCCAGGATCATCTCCCAGCCATCGAGATGGAGCCTCGGCGCGACATGTTCCCGACGATGCTCTGGAGCAGCGAAGGACGGCCTCTTCGGTGAGCGAGCTGTCAATGACTGATTCCTTTATCCTGGAGGTCTTGAGGGGCTGGCGTCTTTTACAGGCGGCTGGTCTCTCAGCCGAAGAGAAGAGGGACATCCTGTCGGCCACGAAGAACTCCCTGAACTACGAGGTGATCTCCACGGCTCTCCAGAACCTGTGGGACGATCAGCTACTGGGTCATCGGCATGCGCACTCCTTCCACCACAGCAACATGGCGGACATGCTCCCGAACGGCTCTGGTTCCATGGCCAATGAGATCTACTACCAGGAACAGGATGAATGGTGGAGTCATGACAACGACTGGTGGTATGACGGCTACTATGTGGGAGAGCCCTGGGAAGATTCTGAATGGTGGGGTGCTCATGACTGGGAGCCAGAAGCGATGCCAGCTCTCACCGCGCCTGCAACGGCGGATGATGATCCTAAGGTGAAGGAGGCGCAGAAGGCGGAGCAGATTGCGGAGAGCTTGGCGGTGGAAGCCCAGAGAACGTGGGCAGATGCTCAGAGGGCGACGCAAGCCCTCAGGAAGGACCGCGGCTTCGGCGGACCTGGAGGACTTGGCGGCGGTACCAAGTGCTTCCATTGTGGAGGCAACCACTTTCTTCGTGACTGCCCCGATCGACGGCATCCTGGCTACAAGGGCGGCTATGGCAAGGGCAAGAAGGGGAACTACATGATGTCCTATGAGGATGAATGGAACGACGCCTACTACGTGAGCAACGGCAAGGGAAAAGGGAAGCACAAGGGCAAGAAGGGCATGTGGACCGAAGCATATGCCAATGGCCTGTGGAAGGGCAAGTCCAAGGGCAAGGGGAAATCAAAGGATCCCCTTCGCTCCGTGAATGCCTACGCGTCGGACATGTTCGTGGGTGGCCTTGAGATCCTGGAAGCCAATGCTGCTGAGTCGCCGAAACCGGTGACGCAACCTCATGTTGGGATGCTGGACAGCGGAGCAACCGCTTCAGCAGCTCCAGATGCTGTAGTGCAGGGACTGATCTCTGCGGTGTTGTCTCACGACAGCAAGGCCAAGATTGAACTCGATCAAGGTGCGCGGCCATATTTCAGGTTTGGCAACGGGAGATGGGGACGTGCACTTTGTCGGGTCCACATCAGCAGCATGGTCTCAGGGTCCAATCGTGCCTTCTCCATCTACACCCTTCCAAACCCTCCGGAGTACTTCCAATCGGGTTACGAACAGTCCTCTTTGGTGCCAGTTCTGATTGGGATGGACTTCATGGGGGTAGATGGGGCAGGGATGTTAGTGGACTTTGCAACTGGTTTCGCGATGATCACTACGGACCCCAAGCCCGAAATCTTTCGGTTGGACATGAACCACAAGGGACACTACACCCTCGACATCGTACAGTACCTAACACAAGGAAGTCGGTGTGAAGATGGCCATCCACATGTCATTGTTCGATCGAACCTTCCCAAGGCAGCCAAAGAGCATCACGCAGTGCTACATCTAGGAACTGTGTGGTTTGACCTGGCCAGAAGCGAGCGTGAGATGCATGAACGAGATGAAGCCCTAGCCCATGAACGGATGTGGCGGTTGTTCACTCATTCGCGACCCGCGCCAGCAGCTTCTCTTGCTCAGATGTGCGGTCCCTTGGACCCCGTTCCTTCGTCAACATCCTCTTCGCGTTTTCTTGCACCTCATGTCAGCTTCGCGGACGGCAGCGGTGGTAGACCCCGAGACCGAGAAGATTCTAGTGGCGGCAGCAAAGGCGAAAGCCAATGCAGCCAAGGCCAAAGCCAAACCACTCGACAAGGCCCGCTCCGTGAAGATCGACCCACGAGACCCTCGAGCTCGACAGCATCAATGGCCCTGCATGGGACGCCACACAACGAGTTCGCCCCAGTCGAATATGCACGGCCAGTGGATCGTTTGTGCAGTGTGCAATGTGCGCCTTCTGTACATTCCCCGCGAGGGATCCAGCGCGCAGCACACGACAACGGACAATCCCAGCATGATCGGCCGCATGCTTCGAGAACTACGACCGCTGATGGGAGATCACTTGCCGACGGCACAGATCTGCAGGCACATGCTGGCCAAGATCAATGCCGAGGAAGTCCTACGTCGAGCGATCTTCGAGGTGACCAACCAGACCTCTACGTCATCGACGGCGCCCACGGCAACACCAACAAGTCGGACCACTCCGATGCCAACGACGGTGACACCAACAACGGCGTACCCGGGATCTCCATCACAGGCAACGACCGGGAGCTGGGAGGAAGCTCAGGTCCCAGAGGGGGACGACGAGGAGCTTGTGGCGGCCTACGAGAACGAGCAGGACGAGATCTGAATTCCAAGGACAGCAAGGCAACCGCCTTGCCGCTTCACGTAGGTCGGAAGGTGATGGCTCTGACTGGCCTGATGATGACGGCGTGCTCGGCTCTCTTACTGGATCTTCATCTACACGATCG